ATACGCATGCCTGTATTTTGTTCTTATATTGTTATGTTAGCTGGGATGTCCAGTATAATGTTGCAAAAAGGTGAGGAGAGTGGGCATCTTGCTTCTGAACTCAGAGATAAAGCATTCAATATTTCACCATTAAGAATGACATTTGCTATTAGGTTTTTGTATATGCTCTTTATCAGATTGATGAAATTCCTTTCCTAGTTTCTTGAGAATTCTTTTTTATTACTATTATAAATGGGTATAAAATTTTTTCAAAAATGTGTTTGTTTCAATGAGATTTTTTTTCTCTTTGATTCTGTTAATGTGATGAATTACTACTATTGATTCTCTAATGTGAAACCAAACTTGCAAATGTGGCATAAATTCTACTTATTAATAACATTTATCTTATTCATATAAAGCTGAATCTGATTTTCTAACACTTTGTTGAGGACTTTGCATCTTTATTCATACAGGGTATTGGTTTATAATTTTCTTTTCCTATAATGTCCTTGTCAAGTTTTAGTATCTAGGGTCATGCTGGCTTCATAAAACAGCTTGGAAAATATTTTCTTCTGTTTTCTTAAAGAGTTTGTGTAAGACTGGTATTAGTTTTTTCCTTAAGCCTTTGATAGAAATTGAGAGTTAAGCCATCTGGTCTTGGAGTTTTCTTTGTTGAAAGATTTTTAATTATAAATTCAAATTTGAAAATAGATATAGGGCTATTTGAATTTTTTTATTTCTTCTTGCTAATTTTGGTAAGATATACTTTTCAAGGAATTTGTCCATTTGCTCTAAGCTGTTGAATTTACAGGTATAAAATCATTAATTGCTTTGTCTTCCTAGAGAATAGAATTCACTATCATTATGTAATAACTCTCTTTATCACTGATAATTTTTCTTGTCTGAAGCCTACTTTTATATTGATAAAGCTACTTCATCTTTCTTTTGAGTAATGTCTGTATGGTATATCTTTTTACTTTATCCTTTTACTTTTAACCTACTATGTTTTTATATTTAAAACAGTATTTTTGTAGACAGCATATAGTTGAGTCTTGCTTTTTATCTAATCTAAAAATTTCTATCTTTTTATTAGTGTGGTTTACATTTAATGTGATTATTGCTATGATTGAATTAAAATCTACCATCTAATCATCTGTTTTCTATTTGCTCTGTCCTTTGTTTCTTTTTTCTTCTCTTTTGGCCCCTTTTTGATTAATTGAGCATTTTTTTAATGATTCAATGTTATCTATACTATTGAATTAACATGTGTACCTCTTTTGAAAAAAAATTAGTAGTTGCTGTAGGGTGTACCATACACATCTTATCTGCTCAAAGTCTACTTTCAAATAATATTGTTCTGTTTCATGTCTAGAATAAAGATGATAAATTCCCAATTCCATCGTCCCATTCTTGTTCTATTGTTGCCACATATTTACTCTTACATATGCTATAGATACACAATGCTTCCATTTTTGTTTTAGATAGTTATCTTTTAGAGCAATTAAAAGTAATAAAACATGAATTTTATGTTTACCATTTCTAGTGTTCTTAATCTCTTTCTGTGGATTCAAGTTCCTGTCTGCTATTACATTCCTTCTGCCTGAACAACTTTCTTTAGAAATTCTCACAGCCTGAGTGTTAACTGGCAATGTATTCTCTTAGATTTTTTTTTTGTTGTTGCTTTTTTTTGTTTTGGGTCTGGGAAAGCTTTTATTTCTCCTTCCTTTTTGGAGGATATTTTTGCTGGGTATAGAATTCTGAATTGACAGGTTTTTGTTGTTGTCATTCAGCAACAAAGACACCATTCTATTATCTACTGACTTGCATAGTTTCTGATGAGAAATACACTGTAATTCTTCCCTCTAGTTTTTAATTTCTCTGTTTGGAATGTGTCCTTTATCACTAGATGTCTTCATAATTTTCTCATTGTCTCTGGTTTTCAGCAGTTAGAATATGATATGCCTGTGGTGTGGGGCATTCTTTTGAGAGAGGGGCATTTACTCTGTTTGATGTTCATTGAGTGTCTTAGAACTGGGGCTTAGTATCTGTCATTCATGTTGGAAAATTCTTAGGTATTATTTCTTCTTATCTTTTCTTCCTGGGATGCCAGTTACACATAGGTTAGATCTTTCGTTATTGTCCCATGTCTCATATCTCCTGAATGCTCTGTTGTTTTTTCCTTCCAAATTCCATTCTTCCAACTGATCTATAATCAATGCCAGAACTGCCGGAAGTCCAGCTTCCGTATGTGCGAGGATCGTGCTGAAGAAACTCTGTTGCTATTGTCGTCTCTCTTATTCTCCAAATCTTTGAGGGTTTATCCCTTTACAAGTTTGTTTTCTGCCATTTTAGTGGTCTTGAAAGGGAGTGAAAGTAAATGCATTTGTGCAATCTGCCATCTTTACCTGAAATCAAATTTGAATTTTATTAATTAAGCTTAGTAGTGGTAAGAACTAAACTTCCTATTTATCTTTGAGATTAAATTAATTTATTGTATCTTATTTTCTCATTTTAAAAGACTTTTGCATTCTCAGAAATGAGTCACAAATAATAATGACTAACATGTATTATATACTTATCATGTTCTGGTGTGGTAAATGCTGTTCTTGCATTAATTTATTTAATTCTTACAACAATTTTACTGCATAGACACTCTTATTACCATCATTTTTACAAATCAGGATAAACTGAGGCACAGAAAGATTAAGTAATTTGTCCAAAGATGTAGAAATAGAAAATGATGGAACCTAGATTCTTACTTTACTTTTTTTTTTTTTTTTTTTTGAGTCAGAGTCTCACTCTGTTGCCCAGGCTAGAGTGCTGTGACATCAGCCTAGCTCACAGCAACCTCAAACTCGTGGGCTCAAGCAATCCTATTACCTCAGCCTCCTGAGTAGCTGGGACTACAGGCATGCACCATCATGCCCGGCTAATTTTTTTTCTATGTATTTTTAGTTGGCCAATTAATTTCTTTCTATTGTTTAGTAGAGATGGGGTCTCACTCTTGCTCAGGCTGGTTTCAAACTCCTGACCTTGAGCGATCCTTCTACCTCAGCCTCCCAGAGTGCTAGGATTACAGGCGTGAGCCATTGTGCCCAGCTGGAACCTAGATTCTTAACCACTATGTTTTAACTGCCTTCAACAAATGGGGAGATGACATGTTTTAGGCAATAGCTTTGCTTTTGTTCTGTCATCCTTCATACGTTAATGTGACCTGTCCAAGAATCTTAATCTATAAATCAGCAAGCACATATTTAGCACCCATGATGTGCACAGAGTTGTTCTGTACACCATGGAGATATAAAGAAATACGGCAGGACAATTTCCTTTAAGGAACTCACAGTCTCCAAAGAGAAGGCCCCACAAATCTGGTAATAAGCAATTATGGTACAGAGCAGCATCAACAGTCAGAGAAAGGAAAGCTCAGTCTGATCTAGGTGCTCACAAACCATGGAAAACATATTAAAAATAATGGTGGTTATTCAAGAGTTTCCTTAGTCTTTGGATTACCTGCATTTTCACGCCTCCACCTACCTCCTTTCTTGCACCCTAATTCTTAGCTATTCTACTGTTTATAAATGCTTCTTCCACAGAGCAAACTAAAGGGATTGCTTTAAGCGCCAAAGGTCTTTATGAAAGCTTAAAGTGGGAAGAATGTCAAGTTCTTGGTCACAGTGAGACCGAGAAGGTTGTAGTTGATCCATTCTCCCTACCTGGCAGTTCTGCAGGGTTTAGGGTCTACTAGATGGATGCACTCATGGCTGATGCCCCTCGCTCCCCAGTGCAGAACCTGGCAGACAATGTGCACTCAATAAATATTTATTGGATGGAGAATGAATCATCTGACAGTACCTAGATTGATGCCGAAGGAATTCTAAATACTATACATCAATCTATCTCAAGGGTAGATTCTAGGCAAAACTAACAGTAAAAATAGGGCAATTTTTCTGGAAAAGCTTGATAATGTAGCTGTTGGGCCATGTATTTTGGAGACACACAAACCTAGGATCTAGTCCCATCCCTGCCACTTACCAGCGAGCTGTGTCGTCTCAGGAAAAGTGCTTAACTTCTCAGAGTCTCCGTGTCCTGGACTTTAAATTCAGAGCAGTAATATATCATAGGTTTGTTATAAGGCTTAAATAAAATATTCCACATCAAGAGCTTGTCTCATGACCGACTAACTACAGGAGTGCTCAACAAATGGTAAATAATGATTGCTAGACAGAGATTTTATGAGTTGAAGCTGTGGCCCTTTGGATCTTTAAAGATTCTTGACAAAAATGAGGAAATGTAAAACAGATGTGTCTCTATGCTCCCTATATTTTTCTTCTCTTGCTTTAGGAATTTTGAGTGGCATCTGTTTGGCTCTATGGGTTTGTAGAAAAAGATGGGATGGGTAGTGGGTAGAAATCCTTTACCCTTTAGAGCAATGCCCTCTAGCAAGGATGTGCGTATGCTATAGGGGACAGAGGTTCACCCTATCAGCTGGGGACGAAAGCAGCCAGAGACAATGGAATATGGCACAGTAATGAGTTCTCATTTGTCAGGTGTCAGCTTGCTGATATGGTCTAAGGATAGGCGTTCAACGATTCTCAGAAATCGGTAATGACAATGTCACTGGCACGACAGCGCCTCTCACAGTTTTCATGGCACTTCCACACGCCGTTTGTTTTCATTCCGACACACTGTTGCAAGGAGCCTGAAATAAGTATTATCATTCCCATTTTATAGATGAGTAAACACATCCTGAGGAGTGAGCTGAGTGTTCCCAAGGTCTCTCAGCTACTCAGTAATTGACCTGGGGCTCGAAACCCGAGTCCACACTCTGGGTTCGTTATTTTTGTCCAGTGAACGAAGCAGCCTGTTTCTTCTATGGAATCCATCTATTTTTATTATTGAGTTGCTTGCACACATTCTAGACCCTGAAGAATGTGTGTTTATGAGATAATTCTGTACTCAGCTGCAATAGCTGAAAGAGGCAACCTGTGTTTTAACCTTACGTCTCTTTTTTGGTCCAACAGGAGACAAAACTTCTCATCCTGAGACACTAGATCTTTGATGATGGCAATAAGGAAACATCCACGCCCCTGGTTAAAAGAGCCAAGACTGCAAGCACTGCTGGCTGCCTAGAAGGGGCTGTGCTTATTTTCGGAGAAGCACAAGGCTGGGGTCGCTGCAGTTACCCCAAGGAAGGTCCGAGGCTGCTGAACAGAGAGACTTGGGACAGACAGCAGTGGGACCCTCGAAGGTGAAACCTCAGCAGCAGATGAGGTATTGCTGAATGGTTCCTGATTATGGACTCCTCTTCCTCTCTCTCCATTTACATTCCAAGCTGTTACCCTGAATAAATCATACCATGTCTAATTAATGTACTACTCAACTTTGATTTGTTCCGAAAGGGGAAAAATATGTTGATACCCCTGCCAGCAGGATAGGAACTATGCCTAGAGCGGAATATCCATCATGATAACATGAATCTCACCATTCCCAAAGTGAGTGATTATTATATAGGCAGCCTATCTTCATGGCTTGGTATTTATCCTTCATGAGTTTCCAGGTGACAATGTATTTGCGGAAGAACTCTCAGAAACCATCCTTAAGATTATTGTCAAATTCCTTAATAAAGATTCGGAAGCCAAACACGCTGGGCTAAATGCAAAAAGACAACCGGTAGGCAACAGTCCGATCGCCCCCTCCTGAAGTCTTAACTGCTGGCAGTGCTAATGTGTGACACCCTGGAGTAGCTGCTGTCTGTCCCCTCTCTCCCCTTCTGAGGGCAGCCCCCACACCGCAGTCTTGTCCTACCCTGAGGCTGTCTTGTGTATCTCCTCATGTACAAGGGTTTTGCACACACTCGTGCCCTCTGATGAGATGATACTAGTAATGATAACCACAATGGGATGTCACAACCATTAAGGCACGCTCTTTAAATAATCTCATTTTGTTCCGACAACAATTAGAAATGGGAAGAACCATCCCATTTTACACATATTGAAACAAGGGCTTGGATAGGTCAAGTCCCTTGTCCGAGGTCACACGGCTACCAAGTGGCAAGGTGGGGACTTGAACCTAGTTCTATCTGCCTCCAACTCAAAGCCCTTAAACTCCGTGCTCATGGTCCCAGTACGGAGATACTGGCTTCCCTGAGGGAACTATCGGAGGCTGGAAAATATGGGCCTGAGAGAACTTTTAAATATGAAATGATAACTCTTTGCCTACTGAGATTCTTATCTTTAAAAACCCAGAGGAAGACCATATTTATATATTTATTCAACATTCATGTACAATATTTACATTTACAAAATGCTTTTAGAGTGTAACAGAATGGGCAGAAATTTTTATTTGGGCATATAATTGTCTTTTCTTTCATATTCATTTATTCCTTTGATTTATGTAATATGTTCTCCACTTGGTCTTCTGAGATTATGTACAATGGTAACAAATCAAAAATAATATTAATAAAAGATTATTTTGTATCACTCACAGGGAAAACTGACTAGGGCCATACATGTCTCTGTTTGTAAATGATTATACCAGAGAACATAATGTGGTCCCCAGAATACTGTCTGTAGTACTTACTATGATGCTTAAAAATATGTTTAGCTCCTATTTCTCAGTGTGTGTGTGTGTGAGAGAGAGAGGGAGAGAGACAGAGACAGAGACAGATACACAGAGAGAGACAGATACAGAGAGAGAGACAGAGACAGATACAGAGAGAGAGACAGAGACAGAGAGAGAGACAGAGAAAGAGAGAGAGACAGAGAAAGAGAGAGAGACAGAGAATGAGGGGTACCGAGCCTGCCCTGGCCCCAGATCTAAATGACTCCCTGTCACCATGTACCCTAGCACTCTCTTTTACATTTTCCTTAGCACAGAATAATCTAGGCAAAAAAACCTCGAGTTCCAGGATTCCGAGAGAATTGATTAAAAAGATACACCGATAAGCAAACATTTTGTCAGTTTTGAGTGGCTATGGTCTGCTTTAAGATGAATCTTTTAAAGGATCTCTTTGGGGGAAAGTGCTCTCGGGGTTTATGGAAGGCACGCAGGCGATGGCCAGAGGCAAAGGTCGCTTCATAGGTTTTAAATGACTATGTGTGTCACCAGTAGATTGGAAGATTATTCTCAAAAAATGATTCTCATCGTTAATTTTTTTTCTGTAAAAATTGCCGATGGGGTGCCCAGTGAAACCCCGGTTAGAAAGGTGAGCGTGGAGGCACGCAGGCGGAGGGGGCTTGGGGAAGGCAGGCTGGTTGAGTGCTTCTCAGCCCGGCGCACGTCGTTAATAATGACACGTCCTGCCAACCAGGGCCACCTGAATCGGGACCTTTCGGGTAGGGGGAGCCCAGGCACTAGTATTTTAAAAAATGTGCCAGGAGGTCAGGTGTGCAGCCAGGGGTGAGAGCCCTGGATCAAAAGGCACCTCCCTGTCCTTTCCTGAGAAAAGCGAGTGATCAAGGTGGCAGTCGCCAGCAGCCCCTGCTTTCTCCAGGCCCGCCAGGCTAAAGGACATCATTGTCACTCAGATCCGACTGAACTTAGAGCTCAGGATCCCGTTCTCTACCTGTCGGTGGTTTCTGGAACCAGTCTTGCTGTCTTCCCTGTGTCCAGTGAGCTTGGCCCCGCCACCATGGGCTCCACCTCGTCCTTGGAACCCGCAGGGTTGCTGGGCTCCTGTCTCGATTTCCTGATTCTGCTTCAGCTGCGCCCTGGACCCCACCCCAAACCTCAGCCTGTGTGTCTAGTGGCTGACCGCTCTGGCTTGGCTCCTGTCATCTCTTCTCCAGGGAACGAAGGCCTTGTTCCTCACGTCCCGAGCCACCAGCCAGGGTCCTGCTTCCAACAGGAGGGGACACACGGAATCACAGTGGAGTCTCCCTCCTGAGTCGCCCCAGCCTGGAAACCCCCCTGCTATCAGATCCTCTGACAGGTTGATCTCCTTGAACTTGGGCCCTGCAGAAAAGCTTTTTGTCACTTTGATTTGTGGAGAGATAAACTCCACCTCTTTGGCAAGAGGCCATGCCAAGTCACGTGTCAAGGGGCCTGCATACAAGGGGAGGGGTGAAACATAGGAGCCATGAGTGCAATTGGTCAACCACAGATTGGAGGCAAATAACAGAAGCAGTGATTGAGCATTTCCAGGAAAGAAGCAAAAATTGGGGGAACATCAGCTATACAGGGAGTTTGATTTGATCTGAGATCAAAATAAGTTGTGCCTGGTGACCACATAATAATCACGTGGTCATGAAGTGTCCAAGAGTTTGGCAACTCAAATGTGACTTGAGAAAGGTGCACAAATAATTTAGCGATGTTGATACTCAAAACTTTGGAGGGTTTGAACCCAGAAAGCAAATGGGCTTGCATGAGATCCTGGACGAGACTGGTGGGCTACCTGCAGAGCTGCCTTCGCCCAGGAAGGGAGCCGGGAGCCAGGGCTACGGCGCCTGCAGTTGGGGATATTGGAAGCCCCTGTGGATTTGGTGGCTCTGCGTGCGATCTGTTCATCGTTTCACTTCTGCCCAAGAGCTTCCACTCTCCAAATCTCCTCCTCTCCTGGCGCCTGGGTGGATTGTACTTCCCTGGCCCTGTGAAATGTAAGTGGAGGTGTCATATAGCACTTCCTTGCTGAAGGCCATTAAGAAGCACTGCTCCATTGGATGTTCTGTTTCCCTCCCCAGTGAACTGTGAACCTCAATGTTGACGTTGTGACATCAAAAGACAGTGGCACCGTGGGTCCCTGAGCGACTAAACTGGGCACAGCCACCTGCTGGCCCACACTGGAGACGTAGCATGAAGGAGACACAGGCCTATATTGTACCAAGTCCCTGAGCACTGGGGGTTGTTTCCATGGCCACAAAGCCCAGCCTAGCCTGACCTTGCCCATGACCATGCTCCCATTAACTCTTGGGGACTTTATGTAAGTAGGTAGACTCCAGGCAATAGAGAATAAAATACAACAAATATTTGTTGACTTCCTAACTCTATACCAGGCGCTGTGCTAGATGCTGTGCCTACTACCAACCTTTAGAACAGTGTGGTCAGTGCAGTTTGATTTCTATATTGTACATGAGGACAGAGAGCTCCGAAGGGGTTAAATTGCTTGCCCAAAACTCACATACCTATTACATGTCAGAGCTGGGATCGGAACTCAGGTCCACCTGACTTCCTTCGAAGCCTGTGTTCTTTTCCCATAACGTAAACAGACAAGTAGCGAGCTTTTAACCCCTTGTAACCTGTTAGCATTTTCCTCCTAAACATAATCCCTTTAGAATAATTTTTAGTTAGATCAGTCTGTTCGTAGCTATTATTATTAGAATTATTTTGCTCTTTCATTTCACCCAGATTTGTTTTTGCAGACCTTTGCCCCATGAGGTGCTACAAATCCATGTGTTTGTTTAAACTCCAACGAAACATGCTCATGTTTGTTTTAAGGTGGAATATCATCACCAGGCTAGCTGGAAATGCCTCCGCTATGGCCACAGTTTCCCCCGTATGGTAAGGATGTTGGAAAGAAACAGAATGAGAGGGGAAAGGAGTAGGTTTATTTATGAAAAAGGGGAGCATGAAAGCCACACTCAATTCACAGAGGCCCTTTTGGATACAGGATATTTCCAGCTGCCAAAGCCAAGACCTGTAGAAACATACTGCATCAGAGAAGCCCCAGTGGCCTCCCGAAATAAGAGGAAATCACGGTGCGAATGCGAGAGTCACCCTCTTGGAGCAGATGGGACAATTCGTGGCTTTGCTCTGAGCCCAGCCCTCGGCCTGCATTCTCCACTGGAGACATGCCTTCCCAACGGGGAGCCAGGATTTTTCTCAAGTGTAACAATATTAATTATCAAGTCACTTTAAAACACGTGTGATGTATGTGTGCATTTATTTCACAGGAATGGTATAAAGATTAAATACTTAATGAATCCATTTTTCATATCAAGGATATATTTGCCCTACGCCTAAATATATCTCTCCCTTCTGTTTCTCATGAGAAATATAGCTATCTTTATTATGTAATCAGTAATATATCATTCCTTCTAAGTAGGATCTAATTTTAGCAACATGATGAATGGCCCGGGAATGGATTCCTCTGCCCTCTTCAGAAAGGAATATATATCAGACCTGCTCAGGTGTGTGTCATTTCTTTATATTGGGCGCTTTCAGTTCCCCGAGTGGCAGCCTGGGTTTTTCTGGCTGGAAGCCCCAAGTTCTGTCCCCGTTTTGGCTTGTGCAGACACAGGGAATGGTCATGTGTGAACAATAACCAGGTTTGCTAGCTCAGCCAAGGAGGTATATGGCTCTCCCGCACCTGGGTTTATTACACCAGCTAGAAAATGACGAGTTGGCTTTTTTCTTCTATTCACTTACATGCAAGATCTGTTTGTGTAGGTTATACTCAAGTTCCCAACTGCCTTCACCCATGTTTTACCATTTTGTCTCTAAACAAAGATATTTCTTTAAAATTCAATAATCAGTCCAGTTCCACCACGAGGAATTCGTAACTTTTTCTTGAGCTTCCAAGCAAAACAAAATGTTTATTTTCTTTCATATTATTTGTGAGTTTTACAGCTGCTTCTGCACATTCATGGCACCTTATTATAGCTCAATATCATTTTAATTTAGACTATTTTGCATTCGTCTTCGGTTGATCTGTGGGAAAGTCAAGGCAGTACCTTATCCTCAGTTTGGTGAAAATTGAGACTCAGAGAGATTAAATGACTTATTCAAACTCTGGGATATGGTCTGGTAAGGGCTAAAACCTAAATCTCCATATCACACTACCTCTTATGCATAATTTCTAATGACACCGATGCAAGATGAAAGATAAAAGTTAGACATGTTAGTTTTTGCAACAACTGTATATGTGAAACTGAAATCCTTTGTACAGTTACTGTATTTGTTGATTCTGAGATGTACCTTTTTCTCATGTCTGTGTCTCAGAAACTGGGACACATCTTATAATCAATGGAGTATCATCATCTAATTGGAAGTGCTTTTTCTTTCTTAGTGGCTGCAGTAGTTTATTCTGAAGGTGTACCAAATATCCACGTCTATATCTTGATGCCCTTTGCGATGTCACTTGGCAACTCCTCCCATCAAACAATCAAGTCTGTTTCCCCATACCTTAAAAATGGGTTGGACTTACCTTTATTTGTTCCTGTAGAGGCCGCTGTTGGTGCCCCACCCATACGCCCTCCCCCTCACCACTGTAGTCCACCTGACTTCCAAATGCACCTGCTTTTCTTTGCCAGAGGGTGGTCTTTGGCTGCCAAATCTCAATCTGCCTGCTCTGATGCCTTAAAAATATATTCACAGATTTTTGACACTCCTCCCTCTGCTCTTCTTGAATGTGGGCCAAACGTCATGGCTTGACTTGCTTCTGTCAAACTGCACGGGGTGGAAATGACCATGTGACTGTGGAGACTAGGCCATAAAAGGCCCCGTGGCCTCTCTCCATCGGATCAGTCACTACGAGGTGAGCCATACGCCTTGTCATGAGGATGCCAGTGGAGAGGTGGGCACTGTGAGGGAGTGGGGCCTCCCGCCACAGCCAGTGTGAGGCAGCCATCTTGGATCCTCCGCCCCCGTCAAGCCTTCTCATAACTGACGCCTGCCAGCTTCTTAACTGCCACTGCACGAGGTTGCAGTTACCCAGAACTAGCCAAGTAAGCTATTCCAAAGTCCTGACCCTCACAAACGGTATGAGATAATAAATATTTATTGTTGTATTAAGCCACTGCATTTGGGGGATATGTTGCACATCACAGTATAACTAAACACATTCACATGCAGGCTGGAAATGTTGTCAACTACCTCCTGGAAGCTTCTCTCCACCGATGACACACAGTAGTTTGTATAAACACCACAGCTTCCTCACCCATCGCGTAGGATAACGGAACTTCCAGAGTTTCTCCAGGGGGATTAGGTTCCAATTTTCCAGAATAGTAACTGTCCTGATAACACCCTTTATTGGCCAGCTTATGTTCCCTAACTTCTTCCCTTCCCTACTCATGTTTCCTTTACCGCCAATATTAATTACTACTTCTCTCAAGTCTTTGTCTCAAAATCTCCTTTTTGGGGGGAAGGGTGAAATGCAATCCAAGCCAATTCTGTGTGATCAGTTGTCAAGTCAAGTCCTGTGCATTTTTCTATTTAAGATACTTTTCTGATAGCTGCAGTTCAATAACACTAATCAGAGCCGATTAAAAAATAAAAAGTCCCACTTCACCTATATATAAATTTTGGTGAAAATACCCTCTTCCCCATTCTTGATACAGTTTCAAACTCAAAACCAAGAAGGGAAAAATCCTCAAGTGCCAGATACACAGAGGATGCTCAGTGTTAGAGTGATAAGGGAGACATACAATGAAAATGCTTACCTGTGAGTCCGGATGGGAGAGAGACCCTAATCGATGAAGCTTTGGGGGCCCTGCAGGCCTGAGCCCCAGGAATGTCAGAGCAGAGACAAGACATCTGCATAAATCCAGGGGTGCTGAAGAGCTGGCTAATGTCCTCTGAATTGGAAACTAGAGAAACTAGCCACTAGCCTTGGGGAATCTCAGGGGACTTTGTAAATTTCCAGAGCCAGGAGAGTCATAAGAATCACCCAAAAGAAAAAATTTTGTGCCACAAGTGGTATAAGGCCTGAAGAGAAAGAAAGAAAGAAACCGCAGAAGGAATATAGTAAAGATGAAAAATATAGTAGTTGAAATAAAATCTCAATAGACAAATTGGGCTATAAGTCATGGCTGATGAGAGAACAAGTGAATTGGAAGACAGATCTAAAGAAATCACCCATAATACAACAAAAAAGCACAGCCAAGCACATAGTAAACTCTCAGAATGTATTTGTTCAACTGACAGCAGTCCCATCGGTGGAAAGGTAGCGAAGAAAAGAAAATGAACAAAGGAAGTTTGACCATGTTTTAATAGATAAATTGCACAGACAAATGAGAAGGTCCTACATATGTCTATTTAGAGTTGCAAAATAGAAAAAAAAAAATTGAAAGGGAAAGAAACAGAGATAATAACCAATAATTCCCACTATCTAAGACATGAGTCCTTGAATTAAATAAGCACATCGGGTCCCACTAAATATAATTAAAAACAAATCCACTTTTAAACAAAGTAGTTCAATTGTATAGTATCAACCTTTAAAACTACCAGAAAGGAAGAAACAAATTATCTACAAATGAATGACAATTCAACCGAGAGCATAGTTCTCAAAAGCAACGATAGCTGACAGAACATAGTGGAATAATGCATTTAAATTGTTTAGAGGAAAAAAAGTTAAAGTCAAGTCAATTTCATACATCAAAAGACTATTTTTGCAAATAGTATTATACTTTGGCAAGTAGTACATCAAGAAGTACTTTGGCAAGAAAGAAAATTACCATGAAAAGAAGAAGTGAGATGCAAGAGACATTTAAAAAATGGATAAATGTGTTGGTAAATCTAATAAACCCTAAATAGTATAATTAAAAATGACTCTTTGTGAGTGTTTAAAACTAAGGCAGAAATAATACTTATTCTAAGTAATAAAGAAATGGAAGATGGGAGAGCAGATCGAGTTAAAGCACATATTATTTAGAAAGAGGTAAGTGATATTGATTAATTCTAGACTTTAGGCGTGAATATTAATTTAAGGATATTCATAAAAGGAAAAGAACAGATATGGAATGCATAACTTGCATACCAGCAGAGGAAAAATATAAAAATGTGGATTGGAATATTACCCACCAAATCACAAGAGTAGTTCTCTTGGAGAAAGGAGAGGTGATCGTAACCAGGAAGGGGTAGAGAGGAAAGGAAACTTCATATATTTGTATTTGACATATTCCACATTTTATAAACATTTAGAAGAAGAGAGAAATGGTATATGCCTTGTATCTTCTTTACTCTGTAGCACATGGTACATAATTATATTCTGTTTAACTCTCTGTTATAAACTACCTTATATTTAATTTTTAATTATTTACTTTTATTCCATATATTTCCCTTAAAAGAATATAGGATCCTTGAGGTCAAGAGCTCTAGTGTCTACTGTAGCCCGCCCTGCAACCCCTCCTGGCGTGTTCCACAGCCAAGCACACAGTAAACACTCAGAATGTATTTGTTCAACTGACAGCAGTCCTATCGATGGAAAGGTAGCGAAGAAAAGAAAATGAACAAAGGAAGTTTGACCATGTTTTAATAGATAAATTGCACAGACAAAACAATAATAGAAGTCACTTATTTCTCAAAGCTATTTATCAACCTTAGTGATCTAGAACATATTTGAGATTCAGAAAATGTTAATTGAGAACATGGGCTTCGGTGTCAGACAGACTTGGCATGAGTATCATGTTATTATTCTCTGCATGATTGTGGATAAGTGAATGAACTTATTGGAGTCTTAATTTCTTCATGTGTAAAAGAGGGGAAATAGGTACCTGAACCTTTAAAGCAGCCAGTGCCTTGTGGGGCTCATAGTAAAAGCACGTAGTAGATACGAGCTGAGATTATCATTAGCTAAAATATATAAACCCAAAGCCATGCATGAGCTAACCTAGCTCTCTCCCACCCCCGTTGTCAGCCCATGGCAGAATTGCATTTATCCGCCCTCTAGAAGTGTGATCCTGTTAACTTGTGTTAGCCAATGAAATGTCAGCGTAAAGACACACGTGGTTTCCTGCAGAAGTTGTAAGAGCTACGGGATGATTCAGCGTGTCCCCTG